GGCACAGGACAGAGCAGAGTTTAGGGCTGTTGTACAGAGGGTTGCCATGAGTCGCAAGTGACTTGACGGCTCATAACAACAACAACAACTCTCTTTCCCAGCATGATATCTTTTTCTAAGGACTCGCCCCTCCTGACTGCATGCCCTAAGCACAGGAGATGAAGTTTCATCGTCCTTGCCTGTAAGGAGCACCCTGGCTGGACTTCCTTCAAGACCAGCTTGGCAGTGGCATGGCCCAGCCTAACTGTGCTTGACCACGGCGACTTCACACCCAGCCATCACCTAGCTCTATGTTCCTCCAGCACCCCCACAGACCTCCAGAGCATGAGGAAGAGCCGCTCTGACCCCCTTTGAAAGCCACCTCAGCCAGTGCCACTGTCCACACGGCCAACTCTCAGAAAAGGGCGTATGGAAATGCCTGTGTGTTTGTAGCAATTCACTTTATGAGCTCTGGTTTCCCCCTGTGCTTCTGTGCCTCACTCCAGGGCTGTCTGGCTGGGCTCTGTCTGTGAATCAAGCCACGTTCACCCAAGTGCCCAATCCAGTGACCACCATGGACAGAGCCATTTCCCACCCTCTTCCTGGTCTTTAGAAGCAGGTGGAGAAAGGTCTAGAAAAAGCTCCAAGCCTGAGGCTAGGGGACAGGTGAGAACTACACACAGGTAGTGCCTTTGTTCCAGTGAGCAGCATCTTCACTCTTCTCTCTGAAAACTTAATGACCGTCCCTGGCCGCTGGGCCAGCGTGTGAGCCACAGGCCAGTGCCCCGTCACTGGTGTTCTGTCCTGCCCTGGAGCATGCCACTGCGTCACCTAGAGGTCCAGAGGGAAGGGAGCATTTTGGTCAAATTCTGGGGTGAGCGGAACCTACAGAGAACTGAGTGTCCAGAAAAGCCAGCATGGGTCCAGTGACAAGCGTCCCCTCGACCTGGACAAGAGTGGCTGGCGCAACGCCTTTTCTGCTCTGACCCTGCCAGCATTGTTCCTAAAGCAGCAGAAATCGAGGCATCAGAGTCAGTGGGGACCAGGACCAGCTTTTTAAACCACATGTTTCGACTGATGATCAACCTCTATCAGCACCTTTCAGCATCTGTGTCACAGCATCCCGTTTTAGAAGACTTATCAACAGCCTGCATTATGCAAATGCCACCACCTTGGTTTGGTTACAGAAAGTGAAAGACTCAAAGCACTTGCTGCAGAAGATCAAAGACTGCAGGCTTCAGCAGGATTGCATTTCAACGTCAAGAAGACAGAAAGCCTCAGCATGAGGCAAATAGCAACATGATAGACATAGAAAAGACTGAAGTTGTCAACTATTTCATTTTAGTTGGATCCACAGTCAACACCCATGGTGGCTGCAGTCAAGAAGTCAAAAAATGGGGGAGCTCTGGTGGCCTAGTGGCAAGAAGCTGCACTGCAATCTCAGAGGTGCACTGTTCGAAACCACCAGATGCTCTGCTGAGAAAGGAGGAACAATCTCCTCCTGTACCAGTCAGGTCTGATTTGACGGTACACACACACAAAATAATAAAATGAATTTAAAAAAAAAGAAGTAAAGAAATGTGTTGCATTGGGCAGACCTGCTGTCCAGGAGCACTTTAACATGCTGAAGAGCAAGGTTGTCAGTTTAAAGACTAAGGTGTGCCTGATCCAAGTGGATTTGCATTACTCTTTGTGCATGTTAGGCAGCTCTGGTGATGTAGTCCATAGGGAGTTGTGCTATTATCCAAGGGCTAGTGGTTCGACTCCATCAGTAGTTCCAACAGCTACTCCAAGATGGGAAGTCGCCTTGTGATTTACAGCCTCTGGAGGGTCAGCTGGAGGGTCTGTTTGAACTTGACAGCAGTAAGTGAGTGAGTTATATGCCTGTGAAAGTTGGACAGTGTAAGAATTGAAGCCTTTGAATTGTGGTATTGGAGGGAATATTAGCCATGGACTGATAAATAAAAAAATAAGTTCGTCTTGCAGGAAGTTCAGCCAGGGTGCTTCTTAGAGGCAAGGATGGTGACACTTGGTCTCTGACGTACTTTGGGATTGTTGCCAGTCATGGGAAAGTTGGAGGATCAGAGAAAGGAGGAGGACCCTCAATGAGATGAACAGACACAGTGGGCTTGAGCGTGATGGAGGTTGCGATGACGGTTCAGGATATAAGGCAGGATTTTGATCCCTTGTTCCTAGAGTCACTGTGAGTTCCAGTCCACCTGAGTGTTTGTAACAACGGACAGATTAGGGTTCAGATCTCAGCGCCAGCAAACAGCAGGCCACTCGGAACCTCAGTCTCTCCTTCTATATTGTGGGCAACAAGTCAGAATCAGCTCCTCACTGACCCTCCAGTGGGTTTTCAGAGGCTGTAAATCACACAGGAGGTCATTACCCACCTTTGTCCTGAGGAACAGCTGGTGGATTTGAACCATGTTCCTTTGGGTTGGCTCTTTCACCCTTTGCCCACTAGGTCACCAGAGCTCCCTGAGTGTTATGAATGCTGTTGTGCTCCATCAAATTGTAGTGAACTCATAGCTGACCTGCCAGTGAATTTTCAGAGGCTGTAAATCACACGGGAAGAAGATCTTTCTCCCACAAGGCAGCCAGTGGTTTTGAACTGTGTGCCTCTGGCTTGGCAGCACAGCTTCTTACTACCAGGCCACAAGAGTGATGTCTGTAGAGGGTTTATTTAGCAGACATCCAGCTCACCGTTTTCAGCCGTTGATGGCGCTTGTCCATGGTTGCATAGCAACACTGGGAGGTGAGTGTGCTAAGGTCCTCGGTTATTGACAGCAGCCATGAATGATGCCCATGGTGACACAGCACCTAAGGGTCACAACTGTCTGACCCTGCGTCCCCTGCCCTTCGTACTGCACCATGTGGCCTTGTTGAATCATTTCCCCTATACGTCCTTCCTGGCTCCATCCATATCTGCCTTAGAGAGTATGATTACATATGCTGTCTTTTCCGGAGAAAGAACACTCATTTTTCCCCCTAGTGGATATTAAATCAGAGGCAGTATGCTGACCAACCCGGGGCCATCAGAGAATCACTGAAGATGACCAGGGACATCGCTGTTCCAGCCCCTTTCTCCAGGGATGTAGGGTTCAGGGCTCTGGTGGTGACTTTGCTGTGGACATCGGTGCAGCGCTGGGCCCCGGGTTTGTCCACTGGCACTTCATTTGAGCAGTGGGCAGAGAAAAGTCCTGCTCGAAAGTACTCCCCCCTAGCCTGTTGCTCCTGATGAGCCGGTCAGCCTCATTTCCTTGGGGCCAAGAACAGACTCAGACATGCCACCCTTGGGCCTTGAAATGAATTTAAGATGGAAAGCACTGTACTAGCCTTGTGTCTTATTTTCAACCAGGATGGCCCTCTTGATCTGCCCACACCACACAGAAGGCTCCACCCACCCTTCACAGAGGGCTCCACCCACACCACAGAGGACTCCGCCCACACATCACAGGGCCCCACCCACACCTCACAGAGGGCTCCGCCCACACATCAAAGGGCCCCACCCACACCTCACCGAGGGAGGGCTCCACCTACTCCTCAGAGGGCTCCACCCACACCACAGAGGGCTTTGCCCACACATCACAGGGCTCCACCCACTCCTCACAGAGGGCTTTGCCCACTCATCACAGGGCTCCACCCACACCTCACAGAGGGCTCAGCCCACACACCACAGGGCTCCACGTGAGGTGTGGACCTCACAGAGGGCACCGCCCACCCTTCTGGGATGGCTCCGCCCACACCACAGCTCCATCCACTCACTCCTCACAGAGGGCTCCACCCAAGCCTCACAGAAGGCTCCACCCACACATCACATATTGCTCCGCCTACAGCACACAGCTCCATCCACTCCTCACTGGGGGCTCCGCCCACACCACACAGGGCTCCGCCCACACCTCACAGGGCTCCACCCACCCTTCATGGAGGGTTCCTCCCAAACCTCACAGAAGGCTCCTCCCATACCTCACCGAGTTGGTTCTGGCTCACAGGCCATAAAGTTACACAGGAAGAGAATATCCATCTTTCTCCCCAGAGCAGCTGATGGGTTCACACCACCAGCCATACCTTTGGGTTAGCCCAACTTGCTATATAGACCACTAGGTCTGTATATGCTGTACACACGGTAACAGTGAGCTCAAAGCTTATCAGGGATGGAGTAGGATAGAGCAGGGTTCATTCAGATCAGTCGTTCATAGGGCCAATATGGGTTTGTTGTGTACCACAGCCATGTCAGATCCGACCCATAGCTGACCCTCTGGTGGGTTTTCAGAGGCAGTTAATCTCATAGGAGGAGATCGCCCATCTATCTCCCACAGAGCAGCTGGCAGCCTTGAATCGTGTGCCTTAGGGATTGCAGTGCAGCTTCTTACCATTAGACCACCAGAGCTCCTATGTATGATATGGGTTTAGTTGACACATTAACAACGACCACCACCACCACCAGTACTACTCTGTGGCTCAAATCAGTGTCTGTGACCACTGTCAGTTCGAGCCTCCCCCAGCGTACCTGAGAAGGCAGGCCTGGCACCTGCACCCTGCAGAGCACACATGTTCTCTGCGTACATGGGGTAGTCAGCAGTGGGGTGGCAACCAGCAGCCACAAGGAATGTGACCCCAGAAGCCAGACGGAATGAACTGTGGCCAGGAGGTCAGGGCCCAGAGTCCAGCTTCCCCCCATCTCAGGCCCCATACTTGGGTTTTAGGGGACTCAGGAGTACAAGCTGTGGTCTGTGGCTCTGTGCTGATCCTCAGGGGAGTCCCCGCCCAGGACACATTAAGGAGTGTGGTGTGGTGTGCAGCAGGCAGCAATGCAGGATATGCTTGACCCGGCGACCCTACCCTAAGAGGGCCAGCACCGCAGAGCAGAAGGCAGGAGGTGGGGGTTCCAGAAGCCAAAAACTCATGCCAAAGCAAACCCCCCTTTTCTGAGACCATCTCTGAAACCTGCCTTCTTTCACGCTTGGAGTTGTTGGGTTTTGTTTTTATTTTTCTGTCTACCCTCCCACCCATAGGTCTGAAAACGCCAAGCGGCTGTGAGCTGGTGGTGGGGGGTGAGCCCCAGTGCTGGGCTGAAGGCCGCTGCCTCCTCTTCGATGACTCTTTCCTGCACACAGCATTCCATGAAGGTAAGAGTTACCCCTTCCCCATGCACCTGGCCATGAAAGTGAATGTTCCCTTCCCCATGCACCTGGCCATGAAGGTGTTACCTCTCCTGTGTAGATTGTCCATAAAGGGGTTCCCTTCCCTGTGCACCTGTCCACAAAGTCGAGTGTCCATGAAAGTAATACCATGTGCTGGCTTGCTACCTCCCAGATCACGGAAGGCGCTCCTGGGTCCAGGCGGACAGCCAGACCCAAAAGCTCACCTGTGTATCCTAGGTAATTCTCCCCTCTCTCCACCACAGGCTCAGCCGAGGACGGCCCCCGGGTAGTGTTCATGGTGGACTTGTGGCACCCTAACGTGGCCGCGGCTGAACGGCAGGCCCTTGACTTCATCTTTGCTCCGGGACGATGAGAACTGGTCCCGCTCTGGAGTCAGCCAGGGCCAAGGCCCAGCCTGGGTGGACAGTGGTCCAGGCCCCGCCCAGAGGCAGAAACCTGCCCCCACAAGGGAGCACTTGCTTGGCACCTTCTACCACGCCGGGCCCCTCCTTCCCCTGGTTATTATTGTAAATGGACATCTCTCGGCTTGTACTTCCTTCCATTTCTTTTTTCCCCACCTCCTGGGGTTCCTTTCCGGCCTGACTGCACATTTCGCTGACTCCGACTGCGACCCTGTAGTCCGTGTTCTGTTGCTGCCTTGTTCTCCCAGGCAAGCGGTTCTTTGTCTGAATGTGATAATGTAAAATTTCTCGTGGTCATCTCAACACACACACACACACACACAAAAGCAAAACTGACCCCTGGAAGCTGGGGTCCCAGGCTTCCAGGAGCCTCCTCCAGCCACTGGGTAGGGCCTGGCCCTTGGTATTTCCAGCCCGCAGTGGCTTCATCAGGGCCTGATGAGATGGGCACTGTTCTCTCACGCCCCAGGCTCTGGCAGGCCTGTGACGCAAAGTGCATCTCAGCAGGGTGACTGGAGACTTTATTTTTTTTGTAAACGTTGATTTCCTTCCTACAAAGCTGAGGGTGATGTGCCTGTCACAGGAGAGGCTCCCACAGGTCAGCCGCAGGATGGGTGGTTTGCTTACCTCACTGCCTAAGAAACCCCACTGCCAAACCAGCTGGGAACCCTCCCCGGTGTAGCCAGCCGTTCAGAGGCGATGACGGAGAAGGTCTCCAGGTTGGCTGATGGCAGCTCTGGTGGGCTAAGACCTCCCTCAACAGCGTCAGAATTCTGAGAAGACCTCTCTCTGGCCAAACTGGAATCTAGTCATCTGCCCAAAGACTTCCTTTTGCCCTAGAGTTTTGTTGCCTGTTATCTGTGGGCACATCCATACACGGATGTCTAAATGCTGGGCTCAGAGCGGGGAAGCTTTGATCCTGTGTCTCCCCTCTTGCACAGGGGGTGCCGAGGGATGGGGACCTCAACCAGTGGAGGTGTTAGTGAGGGACACTGGGAAGACCCCATTCAGGGTCTCAACAAACCAGAGGCAAGCTGCTCTATGGTCAGTGGTGCAGGATGTAGGCCTCGCTCCTAAAAGCAAGAGGCCAATCTGCCAGTCTCTGTAACTTCAGAGCGGAGGAAAGCCTAGCACACCAGGAAAGGCTCCCAGCTCCGCCGCTGGGACCAGATAATGTGGTTGGCGATAGGTTCCCAAAGCCAGGGGTGGCCTTTCACAGGCACCGGGTGCTCTGTTTGCATCTCTGAGGCACAGCTGTGAGGAGGAAACAAAGGTCTGAAGCAGACCAGGTAGTTCACTAGCAAGTACAAAAAAAAAAAAGATCTGTGTTTGGGAAAAATGTATACATGTTTCTCAGTAAAGAGGCTACAGGAGAAGGCAGGGATTCCCAGGATTTCTGGTTATAGTGAGTCACTAAGGTCACCTACCACATGGCACTGACCGTGCACCCTTCACAGATCACAGGACGCCTCAATTGACGTGACCTGGTCGGGAACAGAGGAAAAATAAAGTTGATCTTGCTGAACAACTGGAGTGATGCAGTGACTGTGTGGTCTGTGGGGAAGAAAGTGGGGCCTGGGAGAAGCCCAAGGGGGTCCTGGTGCAAGTTTGAGGTGGTTGGATTGTGATGGGGTCCCAGAGACAAATGCAGCTGTGTCTAGTAGTGAGTGAAGCAAAATGTCCCATTAGGATAACAGGTGGTGTCTGGAGGGGAGGAGATCCACAGACTGTTTAATAAACTCTTTGGTGTCTAACTAAGCCAGCATGAGGACCTGGGCTTTGGGACAGCTGAGGCTCAGGAGTTTGAGCCAGCAGTTTGTTCTACAAGACCTGGGGTGATTCACTGAGACCCTCAGAGCTGCCTTTGTAGATATCTTTACATAAAACAGCTGGCATAGAAAGAGCACTCGGCCAGATGGGCTCCCCTTCTGCCACAGCGGAGGCTCCAGGTCACTACAGTAAGACGGGAGAAGGATGTGAAAACAAGGAGAAGGTTGAACATGTTACTGTGCTGTGGAGTCAAGTATGACTCCTCGTGACCCTGTGAACAGAGCTGAACCCTATGCCATCGTCATCATCTCTGACAACACTCACTTGTGCTGCACTCACTTGCCGATCCATCTGGTTGAAGGTCTTCCTCCCTTTTCACCTTATCAAGCGTGATGTCCAAGAAATAGCTATTCCTAGCAACATGGCCAAAGCCTGTGAGATGAGGTTGTATCATCTTTGCCTCCCAGGAGCACTCTAGCTGTACCTTCTCAAGACATATCTGTCTGTTCTTTCGGCCGTCCATGGAATATTCAGTACTCTTCCCCTACACCAAGTTACAAAAGTGTTAATGATTTCCTCCTTCCTGTCCAGCTCTCAGATACATAGCAAGTGGTAAGACCATGGTCTGAACAAGGCGTTATCTTAATCCTCACACTGGCATCATTGCTCTCTCTTTTGGAGAGGTCCCTGACTGCAGACTTCCCTAATGCGGTGTATCTCCTGACTGCTCATAACCAGTTGTATTGATTGTGGATTCAAGTAAAATATAGTTGTTGACAGTCTAAATCTTTATCTACCATGATGTTGCCTTTCTGTCCAGTGATGGGGATTTTTTGTTTTCCTGACGTTGAGATGCAATCCGTATTGAAGGCTGTAGTCTGATTGTCCGCAGAAAGCGCTTCAGATCCTCACTTTCAGCAAGCTAGAATCTAAAGAACACATCAGATCAGAGATGAAGCCAGTTGTTAGTTGTAATTGTGCCATGTAACTAAAGGCACAAAACTAAAGGTTTGAATCTGCCATCTGGTCTGTGGGACGAAGATGGGCAGTCAACTCTTGTGCAGTTTACTGCCTCTGAAAACCCACTGAGAGGTCAGCTGTGAGTCAGCCCCAGCATGATGGTACAGAACAACTTCTGTGTCTAGTTACAAAGAGTCCTGATGGTGTAGTGGTGCTCTTTTGAGCTGCTAACTGAAAGGTCGGCAGTTCAAATCCACCAGCTGCTCTAAGAGATGGGCAATCTCCTCCCACAAAGATTTACAGCTTCAGGAACCCAGTGGCAGGTGGCTTTGAGTTGGAACAGACTAGTATGCCACAGGAGACTAATCAAGTGCCTAATCAAAGGAGACGTTCCCCGGTAGCTCCACTCACTTGTTTACTTAAGATTATTGGTTCAACCTCACCCAGTATCATCATGGAAGAGAGGCGTGATGGTGTGCTTCCGTGAAGGTCACCACCGACATGACCTTCTGCAGCAATTCTACTGTCACACACACGGCATATGGCACAAGATGACACCGCACAGGTTTGTCCGTCAGCTATATTTGGAGGCATTTAACCTTTTGTTGTAATAGAGAGGGAGGTGTCCGGTGCCCAAGAGCCCACTGAACAGCCTGGCTGGAGGCCGTTTTGCATGCAAATTCACTTTCGGTGGTTCCAGCTGGGTGATGGGACCAGCGGGGAGAGAGACTTGCCTGAGGCTGTGAGGCTTCTGCCAGGCTGCACCTTGCCAGTTATGCAAATGTTACAGTAACAGAGGCGTGCTAGCAAGGGATGCTCAAGGTGAGAGCCAAATTGGGGGGGGGACCCAGCAAAATATAACACAAAAATTTTTTAAAGGTGAGAAGCCAATCTGGTGGCCCCATGTCAAACTAGCGACAAACGAGAGCTAGGTTTTGTACCCTGGCACAAGCAAGGCGGGCTCAGGTCCCTTCTGCGGTCCGCTGAGTTGGAGCTCACAGCTGGGCACGTGATCCTTTCATTTGCTGGGTCATTAAGCAGCAAAGCAAATTTCCCTGGAGCGGAGCATGCGTGGGAGGGATGGGAAGCCTACCTGAATCAGAAAGCCGCTGTGGAAACCAGATCCTGCCCCGTGGGGGTAATCTGAGCCCTGAATTGAACTTCGCATCTCTGGACCTTTCCATTACATGAGCCAATGAGCTCCCTTCTCATCCTTGAGCTGTGGCTTCTGTGCCTGCCACCCCAAAGCTCATCTGCTGTGCGATTGTCACCTACAAAACCGGGCTGCACGCTTCCTTCCGCAGAGTCCAAAGGAGGTTTAAATAAAACTCTCTTCCATCAACTTCTGAGGGCGCAGAAGGCACACTCCACACGTCTCCGGATGTAAATAGAAGGAGCAGAGGCTAAGCACAAAAGAGCCCTTGTTCAAGGGCCATCGTGCGTGCTGCCAGCAACTTCTCCTAACATTTACCGCCCCGGCTGACTCTTGCTAACCAGATGTAAACACGGGAGTGAATGGGGCCGTATATTTGCGAGCTGCTGACAGATGGCAGTGAAAACACTCAAGCAGATTGCCGCCCGAGGAGGCGGGAGGCAGCCCGCGCACTGGCTGATGGCCGGCTGTCTCTCTTGCAGGCACGCTGGGCCGGGCTAACTTCTGACAACCTGTCTTTTGCCTGTTATTTTCTTCCTTTGACGCTTTGAGGTCGTGGGGGGAAGGCAGAGGGCTTCGAGATTGGCCCCCACAGTGGTCTGGTGTAGAACTAATCCTGAAGCCCTAAAACAGCTAGAGTATTTCATTATGATTAAGAATTGTATCTTTGTTTCCTGTTAGCTCCGGCAAAGGTCCTTTTGGGGTACTTTTGTTGCTGGGTGCTGTGGGCAGGCTGTGACGTCTACCAACTCTATGCACCACCGCCACCTGGCCTCCTCATGCTCATGGCTTGATTTCAGCGCATCGATCCAGCCTCTCTCTGTGCCAGCCTCTCCCGCTCGCGGCTTGCCTTCTTTCCTCCTCACCTACTTTACCAAGCATGATGGTCTTCAGGGTGTAGTCCCTCCTGATGTCTAACGCGCATGTCAGCAAGTCTTCTCCATTCTTGCTTCTAAAGAGGATTCTGACTCTACCTCTTCCTAGATTCGTTTGTTCTTCAGTCCACCGTATGGTCACTATGCTTCACCAACACTTTTAAGTCAAAGGCATCGATTCTTCTCAATTGGT